GTCACGGAACGGATTAAGTTCATAACTAGAGGTACCACTGTATTGTATTTATTTTATTAAGGTATTACGTCCTCAATATCTTAGGAATAGAGTTTATTACATTTATCTCACAACAGATAATACTGTATATTGACACTTCCCATTTTTCATTTATAGTTCCAAGAATTACTTGTGAGAACAATTTGACAAAAATATATATTGAAGAAGGAGCCTTTGACTCCAAAACATGGTTTTACTTGATAAGAAAACCCAACCAAACAGTATTACCACAAGGGAATAATTGATGGCTCTTCTAAATAAAGAAATACAGAAATATAGCAAAGGCATTATTTTCACAGCCAAAATCAAGTTTAGACTATTGCACTTCCCACTTTGTAACTAATAAACAAAGCTGAGCCAACAGAAATAAAACTTTGTACTTCATCAATTATTAAAGCACTTTTTAAAAAAAATCTACAAATTATATTTAGTGATGTGAATTCCTGTGCTGTTCAAGCAATTTCACAAAAGGGTTGAGTAGAAAAGCAAGAAAAACCAAAACAACTTGAAAACATATTGTTACACCCATAAGCCATCGCCTACACAAAATCTAATGAGAAAGGAACAAGCAGCATATTCCTACCCTTAGTGTGGACAAATGGGTGCTGGCCAAAGAAGACTTCACTGAAATCGAAATCATTTGTTTAATTGTCAAAGAAATTAATTGTCAAAATTAAGACAATTTTGGATTCTGAAGACCTGTTCTCATTCAGGTTTAACTATTTTACATTCTACAGACGCTCCAAACACTCCATGACTTGAGCACCAGCCATTTCCTTTCCCGCTGAACTTTTTTTCTGAATTTCTAACCATTTTGCCTGATGGAAGAGTTTCTGAAAACTCAGACACTTGCAATTAGCTTATAACTTTCAGATGATCTAATAAAAATATTTTTTCCAGTACAGATTTAGGATTTTTATTTTATGGTTGACACAGCTGCGTTTGCGTTCAGTATATCGTCTTATGTTGGAAGTTTCACTGAAGTTATCCTGACTTCAGAACAAGCTATATAGGATTATGTTCCAAGAATAACCACATTCAACTTAAACTCTACATTACATGTATACATGCTAGGATATGGGAGATGCAGGTTCAAGTCCATACTCAGCGTGGAAACACACATTTTAGTAATTATACCACAGTGGTGCAAAGTTGGTGGAACCCCAAGTTTGTCACCAATGGATATTTCCAGCACTGTGAAAAAATCCTAACTCTAACTGTTAATGCAGTTCAATGAATGTCCGGGATATGCACAACATTCACTGTTGTGAACCAGACTGGCTGGATTCAACAACACACTTCCTCGTCACCTCGAGGGGAGTCCCCCATCCAAGCCCTGACCAGGCCCAGCCCTGCTTAGCTTCGGTGCTGCCCAAGGCCATCGCAGCAGAAAGCCGAGGAAAGCGGACTCATCTCCGTCTTGCGATTCCCTCCCCACTCGCCCCGGCCTGCCTCCGTCGCTTCCCTCCGACTTACCATTTTTGGGCAGGCTCTGGATCACCTTCACGGCCGCCTCGAAGCGAGTCGCGTGCACCGAGCCGCCGCCGCCGCTCTCCGTCTCCGCCATGGCGGGACTCCTGCTTCAGCCGAGCCGAATCGCGCCGCCGCCGCCGCCTTCCTTGTCGGCGGAGGGCCCTGCCGCCGAGGCCCGTCGGGATCATCCAGCAAAGAGGAAGGGAACGCGAAGGCCGCGGGGAAAACGGGGAAGAGCAGCCCGCTTGAGCCTAGCCGGCTCCCCGCGTCCCCTGCCCAGCACCGCCCTCGCTTCTCCGTGCGGCCTCTTCTCGCCAGCATTAGCACCCCCCAACTTTCAGACCCACCCCCCCAAACTCGGCTTCTGCCGCTCTCCCCGCTGCCCGGTCACGGGAAAGCAGCATAGAGCGCGCCACCCTCCGCCCTGCACCGCTTAGCGCAGAAGCCAAGCGGGGGACGCCATCCTCTATACCTACCTTCTGCAACGCGGCGCCCCTACCCCTGCTCTTGCTGGCGGGAGGACGGGGGAGTTCAAGGGTGAGGCGGGGCAAGTTGGTCCAGGCCAGGGCAAGGAGCAAGCGCCATTGAATTCAATGGGATTCGCTGCTGTGCTGACATGCGTAAAAGAGCTCAGACTTGATCCTGATTTCTCACCCAACATCGTAATCTCGCCCTCCGATTCTCCACTTATTCCTGATGCATCGAGCACCCTTCACCCCCCACCACACCTTACAATGGGTGCGGGAAGAGGTCCCTATCCGGAAGGCTTCAGCAGGAAAGAGGCACAAGGGAGACAACACAGGGAGGGAAGATCGAAGGAAATAGCGCGCTATTTCATTTCTTATGGCAGGAAACGAGTATGGAATCGGGTCTAGCCAAGCATTTCTTGAAAAAAGTTACTTACCCTCCCTTTTCTCTCTCTAGTTGTATCTCTGCATCTTAAACAATCTCTCCCCCCACACTGAAGTCGTTCAATCCGACCGTTCAGAAGCTCCACTGAGATCTATGGGGCTTTTCTCTCTAAAATTGCAAATAAGGGACCGCAGTTGTGCAGGTTGTACAGACCATCTCTAGGCAATATAGACTGTAAAAGGTGAAGCTTCCCGGCGTGTGAGCACGTGCATACAGCTTTGCCGTCGGTACCCTTCTGATTCGGGACTTGCAACTTACATTCATTACCCAAACGCACGGGAAAGAAAGTTATTCAGGAAAGTTCAATTCAAGCTTTGAGTAGCCACCACAGCATAAAAGAGGTAATAAAAGTTGGTTACAGACGAACTACTCAGAGGCACTGAATTCGCTTCTCTGCAAACCCTCTTTAGCTTCTCTTTTTCGAGCCCTTCCACACTGCCCAGGGTTCAATACCCTCCACCTGTTCCTGCCCACACTCCTGACTGAAACCAAAAACTGCAACGTAACCACTGAACCCGACTCCTCCACACCATCAACATCTTCATTTCACATCGTTAACACCGACAATGCCTAGCCAATCAATTTCCCAGGGCGGTTTCCTTCTCTTCACCAAGCCGGGCGCTCCGAAGTTTTCCCTTCCTGTCCTGCCTCTCCAAGTCGGCTTTGCAATCCGCCTACAGGACTACCTTCCATTATCCCACGGAGGATTATTCACCTGTTATGATCATGCACAGCTGGAGGGGAAGGGGCGCCCTTCTGCCAGGCTGCCGACCCTCCTTGTCCACTTGCAAGCAGGAGATGACAGTTATAAGGCCAAATTGCAGCAAAACGTCCTTCCTCTAACTTTCCAGACTAAAACGTCATCCGAAGAAGACCGGAGGCCGGGCGGCGTCAAGCAATCGCCGAGCCTCCACCGACTTCCAACATCAAAGAATTGCAAATCGTATCAAGCGACGCCTGGTCCTACCTTGGGAAGACAGACTTCTCCAACCTTTGCCCACGGTTCAGGATCTTCTGTTATTGTCTTCCAACAGTAGCCTTCGACTCATTCTTGTTCCGCCTCCTAAGGAGAATTCTGGGTAATGTAGTCCACTTTCCAGCACTTCCTGTCGCTGACATCCTGCCTACCATAGCAACCTTTTTTTCCTCCCCGTTTAGATCAAAGTACATTTTTCTCAGCCTGTGTGTTTCTTATTCCCAGGGAATTAACCTGAGATGCCTATAAATATTAGGAAATGTAATGATTGATGCTTCTTAACTTGAGGCACGCAGCACATTTCATTGCAGCGCTCCTCTTTGGTGGGATGGTTTATTTAATACTGTTCCTTGGCACATATAAGGGAAGTAGCAATTTCTTTTCATTTATTGTTTCCCTTCTCGTTTTAAGCCTCTTTACGAATGTAAGCCACTCAGAGTTATTACTCATTGAAGCAACATTTAAATCTGCTTAATAAACCTGGAATGACTAAAATTTAAAAATCTTAGCCAGCCCATATTGTTCCCATCATTTCCTCTTAAAATCGCCAATTTGGCACCAGAGACACAACATCATGGAAGTTCCTCCATTCTTTTCTAGCAATGAGAATAAAAGAGGCAGCAGCTGCTAACTCTGACAGATCATGAAAAAGCTAATGGTGACCCAACTTGGGTGGGAGACGCCTAGCAAATTTCAAGGCAAGTTGAAAGAACATCTTGGAAGACTGTTGTCAAGAAAACATCCTGGACATATCCATACAGTAACCAGGACCTGAACTCAACTTGAGAATGTCTTTAATCTTCCAATCATGACATAACTAATCATTTGCAGCCTTTTCATGGTTATTGCCCAGACAAAAAGTGTCAGCCTGACCTCTAAAAATGATTCACCTTGGATGGAAGAAGGCACTGTAGATCTTTTTTGTCCCATAAGAAAATACCACTGTTTACAAGGCACAGAATATGGGTTAACATACATACTCATGTATAAGCTGAGAAATTTTGGCTCCAAAATACACCCCCCAAAATAGGTTCAGCTTATCTGTGGACCAGAGCTCAGTTTTTTGTTTTGTTTTTTAAATCATGGGTTTTAAACTATGACATAAAAGTTTGCAGTTTCCTGCCTTTTGCTGCATACATTTCTGGTAAGTAGGTAATCACCATATCTGGAAATTGCCAACAGTTATCATATGATGCAGCTTTCAAGCTAAAAGTTATTAGAAGAGTGAAGGAGAGAAACAATTCTGCTGCTGCAGCAGAATTTAAGGTACACAAAAAACAAATTCATGAATGGAAGAAAAGGAAAATTATTTCCTTGGCTGGTTGTAATTTTGTGGGTCAGCTTATCCATGGATGGGCTTATCTGTGAGTATATACAGTAATTCAACACATTAAGCCACGATGAAATCACACATGGCTTAACATGGCATGCAAAGCAAGCCATCTTAATCATTAAAAGATAGCATGGAAGCCTTTAAAATGTTTCTTTGCACCATACCATGTTCATAAATGACACTGCTTTGATATTACAAATTAGGTTTAATCCTTTAATAGCCCGACCTTATTTATTGTTACTCACAGTAGCATTACTCCCACGTGTAAAGACACTGGATTATAATCAAAGTTCAGAAGGCTATCATTTTGTTCTACCTACCTATTAGTTTGCAATATAGCATGCCAATTTTTTGTGTATGAATCATTTTGTTCTATTTGTTTATGGTAAAAATTTGGCAAGGACTTTTCCTGAATAGCTGATTATCAAAATATTTTGTGAGGAGGTCCACCCTTTGCTACCTTGCCTACAAGAATAACAAAATCAGATGAGCAAAATATATGGGACAGTCTGTCAGAACCTGCTGCGCTTTTTAATGCAACACATATTAAAAACAAAACAGAGCTTTGATTGCACCATCGTGGCCACCATCTTGGTTTTTTGACCACACCCTGTGGGCACTCCAATTTCCAGTTCTTATTTCCAGACCTTTATACTATTGCTTCAGGCTGGATAAAAGCTCCCATCAATATTGGAAGAGACTCTGGGTTGCCACACAACATTCCAGATTCTGCAAATATACAACAAGTATCCATTGAGTTCCTTGTAATGTACAAGCAATGTACAATTTTTTTAAAAAATGTGTATAAACTGTAGGGATCTGTGAATGGTTCTTGATACATATATTATAAAGGGATACTTTGTACATTGTACTAAGTCATAGTGTAATTTGCACATGTTTTATTTCTGGACTGAGAAAGCAGATTCAGTGTAACCTTCTAAAACACATAGAATGATTCTAGAAACATTATGCTTCAAAAATGATACTTTTTCAGAAAAAGGAAGAAACACTGTGAATTTGGAATTCGTCTCTGCTTACCAACATTCAGTGGCAAATCTCCAGATTTTGATGCTGTGATTTTTGTTTTTATATCTGTCAAAGACAATAGCAAAATTTCGCACTGAAACGACGATGGCTTCTCAAAATATGAAAAAAGAAAGACAGCTTCACTTGCTCCTGTAATGTTAATATGTCATCACTGGATCCCTGTGGCCCTTCAAAACTTAAAAGGTTTCTGTTCGTTTTTTTAAATCTCTGGCTATAAAATTATTGTCCATTCCCCCTCTGTAGCAACTGAATCTTTACTAGGTTGTATGTGGTATATTAAAGTCACATGTCATCTTGTGGCTGTGAACTGTAATTGCAAATAGAGAATGAAGTTGTTCTCAGTAAAAGTTAAAATCTCTTTTGAGATTTACTTGGCAGTACCTGGCTGACCCTGACTGATTGATTATATGCCATCAAGTTAGTGTCAATTCTTAGTAACCACATAGCTAGATTTTCTTCAGTAGGATTTGTCCCTAACCTGGTCCTTCAGGTCTTCCAACAGTGCACTCATTGCCACTCTTGAGTCCATCCACCTTGCTGCTGGTCACCCTCTTTTCTTTCCTTCCACCTTTCCCAGCATTAGAGCCTTCTCCAAAGGGCTAGGTCTTCACATAATGTGTCTAAGTAGCATAATTTGAACCTGGTCATTTGTGCCTTGTGTAAGAACTCTGGATTGATTTCTTCAATTGTTTTCTTGAATTTCCACTGTATTCTCAGGAGTTTTCTCCAACACCAAATTTCAAAAGCATCAATACTCTTTCTATTCTGCTTCTTCAATGTACAACTTTTGCTTCCATAGACTGTGACAGGGAATTCCATGGCTTGTACTATTCTGATCTTTGTAGGTATAAACAATCACGGCATCTGAATATCTTTTCCAAGGCCTTCATGGCTGCTCTACCAAGTGCTCATCTGCATCAGATTTCTTGACTGCTTGCTCCTTTAATGTTGATGATTGATCCTACAAGGCAGAAGTTATCCATCACTTCAATATCTTAATTGTCAAATCTAAGGCTGGTCGTTATACCTGTTGTCATTATTTTGTCTTCTTTATATTTAATCTTAGTCCTATTTTTTCACTGTGCTCCTTGACTTTTATTATTACAGTTTGCAGATCAATTATATTTTCAGCTATCAGAGTAGTATCATCAGCATAGCACAGATTATTGATATTTGTTCCTCACCAATCAGCTTCCTTCAATGTATATTCAGCATATAGGTTGAATATAAGGAGAGAGCATGCACTCTTGGCTCACTCTTTTGCTGACTGGTGCCAGTCTGCTTTACTGTTTTTCATCTGGACTATGGCTTTTTGTCCTGAGTATAAGCTTTACATGAAGATGAGGAAATGTTATAGAATTCCTATTTTCCTTAGCTTGACATGACTGATACAATTAAAAGCCTTTCTATAATCAATGAACATGTATTGACTTCTTTTTTATAGTCTTTGGCTTTCTCAGTTGTGCACAATGACACTAATGTCTCTTGCTTCTTAGCCTTTTCTAAAACCAGCTTGAATATCTGGCAGCACCATTTCCATGTAGGGCTCTAAACTACATTGGATGACCCTAAGCATTATTTTGCTAGCATGAGAGATAAGGAAATTGTATGATAGTTCTTGTACTCTGTTAAGGATCCTTTCTTTGGTTTTGGTTGTTAGATCTACCAGTCTGTATTGTTCTCCAGATCTGCTGGCATAGTTTGGTTAGAACTTTTGCTAATTTGTCTTCTGTGCTTGCCATAGTTTTATATATATTCCATCAATTGCCATAGTCTTTCGACTTGGTAATGACCAGAGTACCATTCTAACTTCATCTTCTAGTACTAGAAATTCTTGTATGTAAGAATATCTTCGATGGTATCTTGGATGTTGACATCCCTACTATAGAGAATTTCATATACTCCTTCCATCTTTGTATGATCTTCTTTGAATCAGTTACCATCTGTCCATTGGTGTTCTTTAGCATATCAATTCAATGTTGGAACCTCCTTCTGAATTTGGAAATCTTTTAGAAGACTTTCCTTGCTTTTTCATGTCTGAAGGTTTTCACCTTCAGTTTCTTTACAGGTGTGGCTGTAATACTGTTTCTTGTCTCTTCTAACAGTTCTCTGAAATTCTTTGTTAAATTCCTTCCTGAGATTTTTTGTCTTTCTTGGTTTTGTTTTCTCTTCTTGTCAATCTCAACCTTTGTTTTCTGACGTTCAGTTTACTTTCTTCTTTTTCTTGGTCTTTAGCAGTCTCTTTTCACATTTATTTTGATTCCATTCCACAGTTCCATTCCTTTCTCCAAGATGAAACTTTTGAAATCCATTAAGCAGAAAACTAAACCTCAAATATAACTACACTCTTTGGGCAAGAACCAGACTCATTTTGCTATTTGAGAATACAGTATAAACTTTTTATTGCCTGTATTATATCTACTGTACCCATGACTTGGAATTATCACAGTATATCACATGCTCAACCAAAATCCAATCTAATCCCATTTAGCCATAGTTTGACAGTCTTGACCCAAGTTATGTAGATGAACAGGAGAGAGAGCCATGGTGCTTAATTTCACTGAAGTACTCATTTAGTCTGTTGCCTTTGTATGGATAGAGGGAAACAAACTCTCTTCAAAAGTCATAAAAGTTCCTTTAGTGGGAGGAATTGCCATGAGTAT